CAGCTTCTTGTCAAGATTGGTTATTGATACCCATTATGCTCTAGGTTTACCTGCCAAGGTTCGTTCTGGTACTTTAGCATCGTTGTTGATTGTAAAAGATTATGATCAATGATACCATAATTTGGATGTATAAAATGAAGCTTAGATTGTGATGTTTTTCAGCAGGACTACTAAAAGTTACCCGCTCTAAGCATTATTATGGCAAGTAATGCTCAAACAATCAATGCTGACTAGCAGAAATCAAATTTATGTACTTTAAGCAGGATTATTAAGAGATATTTTTCTGTTTGAAGAGAAACATTACAGTTATATTTCTGATATTGTATGCGATAAAATCGAAGTGCGGGTCACTAAATACGGTTTGTTTTTCATAGTAACGAAGCTGTTCAAGAAGTTGATTGTAGAAATCAAAGCATCGTAGGCAATACTTTTAACTTTGGGGCTATCTCAGTGACTTCTTAGACTCCTACCTTGCCATTTGCGGCCGGAGGTAGATGTATCTTTTGAATCTATTGTTAGCAGCATGAACAACAAAACGAAAAGATCTTTATGCAAGTGCGTTACGATGATTCGACAAAACAGGCATTGTTTGATTGAAATTTTCGCTTGTTTTGTCGTCTTCCTCAGTTTCTGATTCGGTCTAAGTATTTCTAGCAGCTCCTCATTTCCTCACGATTTTCCCCTTCTGTTCGCCAGGCCCAGACGTCAGTGCCGATTTGGTCATCAACGAAATCCTTGCTTGTTAAATTCGGTCACCAACGAAATCCCTGAAATCACAGCTTGTTATATTTCATTGTGAATGAAACCTATGATGTGGGTGACATTTTCCCGGAATTAATCAGACTTCGAAGAATGGGAATGATAATGCGGCTTTGCGCCTTCCTTCATTTATCAGTCAGCAGTTTAATGGTTTGTACTTCGTAGCTGTTATCAGCAAAGTAAAAGTCATTGTTTATGTGCCTCAAAGTTTACCGAAAGAATCGGAATTTCGAGTGGTTTTTGCCATACTTCAAGGTAACGTGTAGCCGACTGCTGATACTATCGTGCCGTGACGCTATCCGTAACTCATCAGAAAACTATTTTTTACTCGCCCATAGAATGATTAAATAAAGCAGTTAATCAAAGACTTCACAAGAATCAGACAAGCCTCCGGACTGAATATTTCGACTGTGACCAGATTTTCATAGCATCATTGAACAATTCGTTATGGGACGATCCCCCGCAGTTGCCCTGGTTTGGCACTTTTTTCGACTTTAATATTGCATTTAGTTCACTATGCAGAAAATCTTGAATTACTACGTGATATGTGAACACGTCGTTTCCATTTTAGTGGAGATGTATTCAGGAACCATATTCGCTGTAAGGTCGAGGCAGAGCTATCTAAGCAGTGTAAAAATTCTCCTGGCATATATTCTTCCGTATTTACGACACTATTCTCGACTTTTGCCGTTGAAGCGGTGCTGACCAGTTCAAAGACCACAGTCTCATTTAAGAGAGATGTCACAGTGTAAGATATTCTGTCAGACACGTTGCTGATTTGGTGTACTACGGGAAGCGGATTTCGTCACCGGACAGCATTTGTATGCGCCACAGCTGCGAATGCCAGCAGCCTAACGCCCGGAGTTCAAACGTTATGAGAAACCTATCCGTTAGAGCTGATCTACAGGTGGAGCAAGGAGATTAACCAGTTCAAGTTTTTTGATCCAAGAAGTTGCAAGAACGGTACGATGTTGATAGGAAGATCGACCTTACCATCAGTGCTGCTTTCAGCTTGTCCAATTTTTGGTCTGAGAAAGGTGTATTCCTTTACACATAAGATCGGATTGCATCTTGCCTCCGTCAAATGAGTGTTGTTCTATGGTGTGGAGGATGACATCCTAGAGAGCGGCGAAGAACGACGACTGAACGTTCAGCAGCGTACAGCATTGTTGGATTTTACCCATTATGACGGTTGAATGATAGGACTGTGTAATTAATAGCTCTATTCGTTTCTGAGAATATATATCTTCAGTGTATGTAGAGATAAGAAAAGGACGTTGTGCCTGTTAGACAAACTGGTTGAGCGTTAACTGTTTTCGCCAACTCCCGAGCTTCTCGTATGGAAACCGAAACGTACTAGACGTCAACTAACGAACAAGAACAACATGGCCGTAGGAAGAACTGCCTTTCTTCTTCGATGCAATAGCCGATAACTCAGCAAAATAGTACAGTATTGCAGTAACATGCTGAATAACCGTAATTTCAGTGGATTTGGCTAGCCGGAGAGTCGTGCTAGTGCAAACAACTCAAGGTTATAATTACAACATACAGCACGCAGTTGTGAGTTGCTCTTCTAAAGTTGATGAATAATCTGTAAAGTGTGCATTGATATGATAGTTTTCTGTATTGGCGCTTCGCTCCTACACTTCGAACAGAATACGCGTGGATGAGGTTTAAACTGCTTTCTGATGTCTCAGTGACTTCTCCGCTGCTCAGATGGGAAATCTTGCGAAGAATTGGCGGCGGTAGCAACCAGGGAAGCAAATGACATCGCATGACACTTTGAACAAGTCTCAGTGAAGACAGCAAACGTGGAAACAAAGTGGAATCCTAATTTAAAGCCCATACCTGGGCCGCCGCCGTATGCTGCGGTTTGAAGCCCGTTGACCGCTCGCCTGGGCTTCAGACACGAATTTCCTGCATGGAATCAGCAGTTCAACTGGCTGTCAACGA